GGCTCTATGGTAGAGTGAGTTGGCCATGATATGGGTGGATCCAGGGTTGAGTGAGTTGGCTATGGTGAAGATAAGTCCATGACAGATTGAGTTGTTTAAGGTGTGGATAGGTCTATGATAGAGTGAGTTGGCATGGTATGGATGGGTCTATGATAGAGTGAGTTGGCATAGTATGGATGGGTCTATGATAGAGTTAGTTGGCCATGGCGTGGGTGGGTCCAGGGTTGAGTTGGCCATGGTGTGGATGGGTCCAGGGTTGAGTTGACCAAGGCATCTTTGATTAGTTGCGGGTTAACTATGGATGAGTACAGCATGATATATTCCTTGGAATGGTGGGTTGTATGGCAGATTTATCATAGGTATTACTGGTAGGTCCTGTATGGGTAGTTTGCCAACAGTTTTATTTGTTGTTTATGGGTGCTGACGGTTTGTGTGGTGAAATGGATCTAAAAGTTAAATAGGTAATGAATACCAGTCACATACTATGGCGATATGTGTTCAGTAAGTGTATTGCTACACTGGTATGGTACCAACAATTAGAGCCCCCAAATAAAAGGTTTTGCATCTCATCCCAGGGAAAATTAACATTTTTTTGATATTATTCAATACCTCAACAACAAGATATACATTCAACATTTTTAATAAATAATGCTTTCAAATACATGTATTAAAGTACATGTAGAAGCCTAATCATAAATGCAAATATTCAGAACTTATTAATTGTCCAGTAAATTGTACTTCTGGGCATTATAATGATATTGACTTGTTGGAGGTCACCAGTTTAATTTTTCTGAGAAAATTATGGTTGTATTTTAGTGGATAGTGGAAATTTTGACAGTATTACCCCCCGGTATAATGTTTTTACCATAGGTTCCTATGGCATAGATATTATGCCATATCTCAAATTGTAGGCTGGTGACATAGGCTGACAAAATAATATATTGTTACTGATAGGATACTTGTCCTAAATTATTTTAAAAATCTGGGTTTCAAAAATGTGTCAAAAACACAATTGTGCTTTATGTTTATGGAATTGTTCTAAAATAGCAATTTTTGAAAAATATTAGGACAAGTCTCTTAAAATACGTCATTGTAACAAAAAAAAACACTATTTCATGGTGCCTTGAGACAATAGCTTTACGATTTTTCACAATAAACTAATGAACACTGTTATTCAAAGTTTCTCAAAAATTATGAGTGAGCTTCTACCTAACAAAATGTTTTAAATTGAGCAAACATCCACTGAAACTGAAAACAAACCATGCCATCTGTGGTGCAAAATGATGCATGCAATGATGAGATACAAAACTTTGTTTTTTGACCTAAGGCAAGCATTCAACTTGCTTTGCATTCACAAAGATAAATACCCCCAGTTGTTTCTCATAGTGGCGTCATTCAAGTCACAAGCAGTGAAATATTTTGGTCTATGTTTAGAAACCCCCGCTGAACGTTATAACACATGTTGGATTGGATACAACAGTTTTCATCTGATAATTATTATCACATCAGCTACTACTTCCTGGGCTATCAAATCTTCATTAAATCCTCTGGTCATTTGTTTAACGCTCTTGAAACATCGCAGGCTTTTGTGAGAGACTAGGGACTAATATTCTAAGCTGGTTGGCAATAAAGTGAAGAGTGAAAAGTACACGTTTGACCATTCTTTGCATTCCTATCCAAGTGGGTATTCCATATCTCCATTCTTTCTGCATTCTATTTCAATCTCATACAAAATATATCTAACAGTGTCGGTGTGTTATGAAAATAATCTAGGTTGTAGATTCGGAATAGTAGACAAGTTTTTAAGTTCCCCCCGGGTTTGTACCCTGGTTGCTACGTTACCGAGCGTACTTGCACTAGAAAAACGGTTGATTGCTTAACAAGTTGAATACACATGCTTGTACGTTGGCCCCGAGAAATATCGTACAAATGAATATACGGATACCAAAACCGAATGGTATATTTTGTTCGATTTCATTGTGTGTATGAATGGAAAGCGCATTTACGAGATACCCTACATTAAAGAATAAACAAGTTCAGTACAAAACTGAAGCTACACAATGTAGTAATGTAAAAATATCTGCCAAAAATTGCATATTCCTGCTGACAAAAAGCGAACCAACGTCGATTCGACTCCCGCCTATACACGTATGGCAACTAAGTAACCAGATAACTTGGAACTCGTCTATTGGACTAGGATTTACCTTCGTTCAGCTCTTCTACAAACAGATCGTGCTAAATGTAATGCTGTACTTGTCTTTCCACCAGACTGAAAATTAAAGAGAAAGAAACATTACCTTTTTTTTATTTGACATTAAAATATATAGATGATGTCCAATAAATCCGATTTTACGCGATCATGAATCGGAGATCTTATTATTTATACCCATTTCACGTTCCATAACTCATTTGCATATTGGAACACTATTCCTTAAACTTGGTTAATGGAAAGTTCATCACCATCGATAACCGGTGTTGCTGATACGCGAAGATATGAATATATTTCCGGATCCAGGGACACATTGGTCAAATGATTACATGCAATTTGGCAACACGTACATTGGAGTAACTAATCCTGTGTTGAGGTTGGAAATTTGTTTTTACAATTTGAATACAAAAACACACCTTGGAGAATGCCTGAAATTACTATTATATATATTGAAAACATAAATTTAAAAAAAATTTCAAACAATTATTTAAAAAAAAAAATATTGCCAAATGAACAAATGTTTTGGCATCTTTGAAGATGGTGTTATAATTTCAAATTGAGTGTATCAACCAATCAGAATCTCAATAAAAGACTGGTTCTCAAGTGAGAGACTGAATGATTTCCTGTGAAAAAATGAATGTTCTTTACTGTCGTAAGAATAACCCAATCTATTGAAATCAGCAGTGATCACCTACATTGTACATTAACATTTTCCGTGTTGATACATTTTGTGTTCGGCAATGTAAACTGCTCCTTGTTTAGCTCAAAAAAAATTGTGGAAAAGTGAAAATAATAATATTTTGTTGATTGTTATTTTTGGTGGATACAAATGTCTTCTCTGTAGGATTTGTCCCATGATGCAATGTGATGTATGCATCTCATTGATGATAGCGAAGATTTGATGGTCATTTATATATGGAAAAGTTACTAATTTAAAAATATTACTAAAAATCACAACAAGCAGCCTCTCGGCTGAGATAGCTCCGCTGTTAGTAATGCACATTTCAATTAAAGAACAGAAGATATCATTAGAAAATGAACAATATGCATAGTATCAATGCAATGGGACTTGCTGTTTTCAACAAGAATTCAAGAATATAATTTTTCACCATAAATGATTGTGGTTTTTAACAAGAAGAAAATATCACTTTTTACCAAAAATGACAAAAATATTCACCAAAATTAGAAAATTAAAGATATCGTCATAAAATGAACAAATTTGAAAA